AAAGTCAGGAAGACCGGATGTGAAGGAGGGTGCAGGCGGCTGGCACTACCGGAACCGCACCTAGGCGTACCGCCACGTCCCCTGGTCTTTGGTTGTTTAATTCTAGCAAGTAATCAACTTCCTTCCCTCTTATATTGGCCATATACTGATTGCGACATACGACAGTTCGACCGTCGTACCCAACGATGTCTACCGTGTGCTCCACAACAAGGTGAAGCAGTCACGGTGACTCGCGCGTGAAGTAGTTTCTACTGAGAGTGGACTTGCGCAGAATCTACCTCACTCCCTCATCCTCCCCACCTGGAGTTGGTGTCAGGACACAGTCAGGAAGACCGGATGTGAGGGAGGACGCAGGTAGATGGCGTGGACGGACAGGCACCCCTTGGTCCACAACAAACACTTAACCAGAATTCTAACCAACGGCAAAACAAACGGGTCAGAAAGGGGGGGATTACTGAGAAACCATGTTAACGACCTGTATACCCAACGGGAGCGCAAGCGCATTTACCGACAGGTAACCGGGTGTCAGAGAACTGCCGGCGCACACCAGACCGCGAGGGCCATGGTTTGCTGAATCATGGCATAGCAGACACAAACAAACTTTAAGTTAACCATATACACACACTTGAAATGACATTGTGGGGGTTTAAAGGCTTCTTCCGCATGACTGCCGAGTGGTAAGGCTCTAGCCGGGATATTTTCTAAATGCGCCTGACCAATCAGAGCAAAAAGTGCAATTATGTCGGAAGAAGTAAGCAGGAGACAACGTGTTCCTGGAGAGGGGACAAATGGAGTATGGCTCACCTGGATGAGCAAACTCGAGGAAGTGATGGGGATTTTTGCGATAGCATTGACTGCCATATTTGCAAATCGGCAGGCCTTCCCTTTTGAAACTCAGATCGGTGTCGTCAGTCCTGGCTGCCTTATTGTGCTCTTGACGCAGGTTTGTGGTGGAGTGGGATCTTGTGGAAAAACAGAAATCAATTTGCTTCAAGAACGGGGCACAAACCTCTTTTGTGATGAACTCCCTTCACTCGTCTCATTGACGTGGGACATAATTCGCACGTTGCAAATTTGGTACCTGTATAAATGGAATACACAGCAGGTTCAGGTGACAAGGTCTAGCGGAACACTAGCCGCGTCTGTGTGCATAAAGTGTCATCATGGGGAGACGAAAAGTTGTATATCTCGAATGAATTTTCTGCTCCGCTTTGCTTTTATAGTGAACCGAGGCAAGTAAGCAGTCTTAAGAGAAGCACGTGTGGAGTTGACAAAAATTCTGACTAAAATGAATCCTCTGACGGCTGAAATTGGGTGAATTTTGACCAAGAACGAAATCCTCCGAGGCTAAATTGGCCCGAATGTCACGCAGACCGAAAATTTCGATTTGCCGCTCCCAAACAAATTTCGGTGACGAAGACACAGACAGAAATTCATATTAGGACCGGGAAGACCCATATGTTAGCAATCGTGCAGCAACCTGCTTCCCACCTCAAGCTAACCTGATAAACGCGGAATCAAAGCATTCAATTCCAGGAGACGGTCTTGTTCCTAATTGCGCAAATCAGCCCTATAGCGCAGTTTTCACCATGTTGCATCTAACCTTTCAATCTTCGCTCCATCCAAAGTGTCGACGCACATTTGCGCAAGCACGATCGGCATGAGTATACTGTTCAAATAACTGCCTACTCCTTACATTTCAGTAGCGCATAATGAGGATATATTAGATTTGCAGATCAGTCGAAATGTTACGATACCAAGGACCGTAGGACGCCGACAGTTTAGGGAAGGCAGATACTCGCGGCAACAGTACTTTCTGTTGATGACTCCCACTCTTCCGTCTCCAGCACCGTGTTCTACGAATGTAGGAGAGTCAGTACCTGTACTCTAAACTACCAGATCAATTCTATGCATGTCATAACGGAAGGCCCGATGCGACCTAAAATCAAATGACCAGGCAAATCTAGAAAATAGCCCAATCATCCACGGGTCTGCTGTAAGACCTACTTTTCCGCAAAGAACTTGACTCAAACCAGCAAACTTGGGCCAGAAATAAGATTTGAATCAACCCACTGTCTTAATAACCCCCTAGTGAAACAGCCTACAGGCAGCTCTGAGTTTCCCATGGCAATGGCCACTGCCCTCCGCATTCCCATTTTCGAAGACAAGATGACGCGACCGAACTAAAAAAAAAGCTCAAATCGATGCTACGTAAGGCATCCTAGTCGTCCCTCATGATAACCTCGACATTCCAAGACGCTCGAATAGCGTCAGGTTCCGCGCACCTTGTCGTGATGTACGCACTAGGACCGTTACCGGCAGCGGTAGGCAGGTAATCGCAGGACCGGGTTCCCGATTCTATGAAAGTCGCAGGTGACTTTCGCGTATGCTCGAACGGGAGCAGAAGTTGAGTTTCGGTGGAAATGCCCGTCCCAGGTATGGAAGCTGTGTCGAGATTCGCGACGATAGCACGACGAGGGGATCTACGGTTACTTCGCTGTTTGAGTCATTCTGGGACCAATACTATCGTTGGCGAAATCGATTCTTGGTACAAACAGCTGCAGGCAGGGCAGCTTTAATGACATCTACGAGGCGGCTGCGTGCTTGGTGGCGCCTTCCCGCCAAACTGAGATTCCTAGAATGATTCAACCGACGTGACCGTGATGAACCCGACGGCCTCGACGGGATCCAAACTTAAGAAAACGGATTAGTTACCCAAATGTGCCAAAAACACCTACTAATTCATATAATGGTCAAATAGAGCTCTAGGATACGCCACTAGACCTGAGATGAATGGAGAAGGCTTTTAGTAGTAAGACGCGCTCCACAAAGTGAAAATCGTCAAAAGGACCAGATCGGCCGGTGAACTGCTCTTCCGGGAACTTTGCTATCAACTCAATCCCCCAAGCCCGTGCTTATGTTGCCTCAACCAAATGGGCCGTGCCTCCATTCAACAGAGAGAGATTTTGTGAAAAAGACGTGACTTTAAGAAACACAACTGAACATCGAAGCGTGTATTAGGTTTGAACAAAACAGTGAAAAAGGGGCTGGGTGGATGGAGGCGAGTTTTACGGGTAGTGTTTAATGCTTCGAAAAAGGAGAAAAGCCAGCAATTGGGCGTGGCAGTCCCCCATCATCAGCAGCATGGAGTCCTCAGGCCGGAAAAATATTGACTGTGGAGCACCACAGACTCTGATTGCAAAAAGACGCTTTGTATAAATATAAATTGGTGTGTGTGTGCATTTGTACAAGGGGTATAAAAGAGCATGTTTTCCGTCAGTGCTTATCGCTTGCTTTTCTGCCTAAGGTGAGTGTTTGAGAACATCCTGCACATCCTCCATGTCATCGTCATCATCATCCTCATCTTCATCATCGTCCTCGTCGCCCATATCCATGTCTTCGTCATCCTCGGGTGCGTCGTCTTCCTCATCCAGCAGGCCTCTGCCCATACGCATGTGCCTGGGCCCGCCGCGCAGGTCACCGCTGATTGCCGCCGTAGCCGACACATTCTCAGCGTCGCCCAGCACTCCGCCACTGCCGGCACCGGCGGATCCCTCGACAGTCATCTTCACTGCCTGTCTGTGTATGCTGCCAGCCTGACTGCGGAACTGGCTGGGAGCTGAGGGGGTGCCGCGATGTCGAAGGAGGCCATCGGGACCGCCTGGAACCACAAAGCCTCGGGCTGCAGCGGTTCGGGCGTAGTGTTGGGTGTCGCCCGGCACCAAGTCAGTGGGGACACCGCGTTGGATCTGAATCTGACGAACGCTCGAGTCGTCGTTGACGCCACTGTCGAAGAAACCAAAGTGACCACCGTTGGCCGAGGGCGAGCCGGACTGCAGGCGTCGAGACTGAGTACCGCTTCCAAGGTGATCAGATCGGGCTTGGCTGTCATCACCTGGATGCGAGAGGTCACTGGCGGTTCCTGCGGCCGCGGCCTCGGCGATTCTGGCCTCAATGAAGAGACGGCGTTGCTGATGTAAAGCCTCAAAGTCTGGCACTATAGCCTGGCGGCGTTCATATATAGCTGGAAAGCGGAAAAGGGGCATTTTGTGACGAGGATGCAGAGGAGTTACAGGACCACGTTATGACGCTACGAGTATTTTTGAGGGGGGAGAGGGGTTAAAATAATACGTCAGCGTAGAGGACGCATGAGGATGTTTTGCGGCTATTCCTGATCGGAAACACACCCAAGGAGAGCCTTGCACAATTAGTTAGAATCGAGAAATCAAATAGTGTGAAATATGCCCAATCGGGGTTGGCTAACAGGTCGGAAAGAGTGAGTTCCATAAGAACGATCGGTGAGCGCCCCCCCCCCCCACCCCTACCATTGTCTATTCCCGATCGAAACCGACAGGACAACGGGTAAGTGGCCCAGTGGTTAGAGCCATTAGTCTTCTAGCTAACAGGTCGCGAGTTCGAGTTTCGGTTGTTCCACACTTCGGAGTTGGGTATGACTAGCTGAGGACGGTCAATAAGGCAGAAACGGTCATTCCAGTCTCCCGTGTTTTTGGCGGTAATGCTATTCTCTCTATATCCTGCGCCGCTGTTGGATGGGCGCGATAGAGCCCTAAGGCACGACAGGACGAGTGAGCTTCGTAAAAAAACGATCGGTGAGCCCCCTCTACCAGCGCTTAGTTTCTGAAGTGTTGCAGAAGTACCAGGGGAGGATTTACCAACTTACCCTCGACGTAGAAGCGCAGAGAAGGGGGAATGAGTTCAAGGCACTGATTGTACTCCTCCTGTGTGCACTGGGCGCTTCCTAGGCGAAGAGTAAGGCCCATTCTTTTCAGTGTGTCGACTTCATCGCGAATCTCGAAGGCTTGGTCGAAATTGAACAGGTATTCAAGTCTGCAGGAGGTGGAATGAAACGTGCATTAGGATAAGCGCGATCAAGTCTGAATGGAGACAACACTACGGGGAGATGGTGTGGGGAGGGGAACATTAGTTTTGAGGTGTTTACTTGTCGCTGGATATATTGCAGTCGATCACCGCCTTCCGATTGGTTGATACAATCATGAAGGGCAGTGGGATGTTGTCGAGTTTCTGAGGAGTGAGAGCGGCCACCGTCATCTCCATTGTAGTGCTTGGCTTGCCCGTGGCACCACCCACATCGGTATGGTGTTCAGTGTCGGCGGCACCGGAGGCAGTGCTGAGGGCGGCAGCTTCGCGTTGTGCCTGTCGCTGTCGCTTGTAGCGCTCATTGATACGGTTCCGAACAACGAGGTTTTTGAAAGCGATCAGTTGAAGGATGAGCTCTTGGATTTCTGCAGTCTAACGAAAGGAAGTCAAAAATAGCAATCTAGATTTTGGACATTCATAAAACAGCAAAAGGACAGACGGCCACATAGGAGGCTGTAGGTTTCATTTGCACGGCGAACTGTGGGAAATTGAAGGCAACCCGAACTGCCGAAGCCAGATCTAGCGGGTTACTTAAATGACTATAAATATACTACTAACATGATTTCAACAGATTTTTTTGTGCGTTAAACTTGACTTATACGGAAATTTTCAGTCCGAAGTTCGCGGGTTAATAGTGATGGTAAGCTCACACAGCACCTGTCACACCCCCACCCACCTGAGCCGCCATGTGGAAAGATAAAATCAACACGACCGGAGGGGGGGGGGGAATAATTGGGTGCTCTGGCTGACAAAGCTGACCCTCCCGTCAGCGCGTGTCACACACACACACACACACACACACACACACACACACTCGCCCGCTCAGCGAATGACAGACCAGGTTTTGGCAAACAAACAAGGAACGGCTTAGGTCCTAACAGTGTAGGAGTGTCATAGGTGCCAAGACGGACTGACTCTCCGTCCTGTGAGGAGCCACCAGTCCATTGCCTAAGCCGGTCAGTCATCTGATGTAGGCTTGTGGTCAAAAAGAACGGAGTATCCCTTTTCTGTGAAGGCTGGCGAAAATCAAAAAATCAAACGGTGGCCTATTTTGAGACATCATTTGCGGAGAGGTTCTAAATTGTTTTCTGGGAAGATCACCTGTCGCTGTCAGAAAAACTAGTTTTATACATTAGTGGAGACAGGTCAGACGGCTTTCAGGGACTAATATCCTGACAACTAACCTGCAGCTGGTGATGATAGACTGGGGTCAAGCAATCGTAAGCAATCCAAATTCCCCCTAAGGTCAAGCTAGCAGAGATGTGGAAAAAATCGGATTTTGCATATTCCCCACAAGGTGTTAGAAAGTGCATGCGGTCAGTTGCCGCATCCCACTATTGATAGGCTTTATTACGCGACTGTCTTATAAGAAACGGATGTAATCATGTTCAGGTGGTCGAGCACTGCCCTACCAACTGGCGGCATAAGCATGCTCGACTGCTTAGGAGCCTTCTGAATAATCGTTCAAATCTGAAAAAAGCAAATACAACAGTTAGTCTGTTTTGCGCAACTTGATTAACCAGTCCTTCGAAAAGTACAAGTCCCTTCTTTATGATGAGTGTTCAGTTAACACGGCTTACTCGTAGCCAAGAAATTGGCCGTTTTGAACTGGCGGACCACTCAGTCTGTCTGAAATCAACATCTGTCTACTGCAAGCGGACAACCGCTTTTTATGCGTTTCGAGGCCGTGAACGTGTTGAAAAAAATCAAGGTAATATATGTTTTGGCGGATGCGAATAAAACCTGGGGGGCCTCGGTCGAATTCAGAACCGAGACAGCAAGAGCGAGTCCTCAGTACAGCCAACGTTCTAACCACCCGAGCAACGAGGTTAGACCTCTGGCTGTACTCCATCCTTTCCATTGCTGTCGTGGGCTCGAATTCCGCTCGGACTGTCGTTTCCCCGAAATAAAGTTATAACGGTGAAGTATTTTGTTTTCGGGGGTGCTAGTGCGATTTCACTCCTGCCTCCCCTAAGAAAGATAACTGCGTAAAATAAAAGGTACATCACAATAATGAAAAAGAGGACAGTCAAAGTACCTTATTTCGCAGAGAAATCTGCCGTTTCTCCCGTTCCTCTTCAAGCCGACGGCACTCCTCAATCATGTTTATGGGGAGGCCTACCCAACGAATCTCCTTCTTTTCCTTTTGCAGGACATTCAGCGCCATGAGAACATTCAGAGCATCATAAACGCGCCGCCGTATGTTCTTTTGAATGTAGTGCAGCTGGAAGGGGGGTTAAGAGCATAAATGAAACCAGCATTAAGCATTGTGGCCTAGAGCAAGCAAGGATGAAAAAGGTTCAGTCCATTAAACGGCGGGCTAAGTTGTGACAGGAATATTCACCTTCAGGTGAGAGGCAAATATAGCTTGGTGGGTACGTTTTGGTCCCCGACAACAACACTTCAGTGTCAAACAGCAGACCCTGCCACGTCCACCTACACCCCGCCCCGTCTACCTGTCAATAAATGTCCGTACCAGAAGAGGTGGAGAAGCACGAACCACCACCGTCATTGTGGATGTTTTGTGCGGCAGGTGGCCCCCCACAACCGCGTACGCCGCTTTATTTCGGAGCACGTCCTTGACACAGGACCTCCTTGCGATTCAAAATCGTACTATCATCGGCCTGGCGCAACTGCGAAAAGGGCAGCGTGAAGTGTTGTATGATCTGGTGTTAGCTGGACCGGAAGATCTGTTTCATCAAATTAACTATGGTATGGCAAATACATCCCTCAATGTCAGGAGCTACGGCTCTCTTCGGTTGGGACCCTAAAGATTTTCAAGACTAAAGACCTGGCTTTAATCATGGTCCACTGCACCGCAGTTCATGAAGATCCTACCTTCTGGAGTTTCTATCAGGGGAAAATCGTTGGTGCACAAAAAGGTAACAGAATGGCATCCTCGTATTATACAGTGGGTAAATTCATTCTATGAATGAGGCAATAGCGTTCTGGCGACGGCAAAGGATTCTTATCACCCAACAAATGGAGCTGGTTTTGAAGGGCATAGCAAACGCCGATTCGTCCTGAATGACGAACGGGACCGTCTTAGGGCTTAGAGTCAAGAGCTCACCAAAGTTGTCGTGCAGAGACCAGGTGATACTGACGCTCCGCAACTATCCCCCCCAGCCCACTATTCCTGCTTTATGTCTGTTTGAAACGAGGGAAGCGACTCGATGTCTCTAGAAGACGGCATGTAATAATTGACCCAGAAACTAAACCTATGACGAGAATTCATAGACAGCAAAGGTATGTTCGTAAATGGTCTTCTGAACGGATAAGTTGTGTGAAACACATTGATGTTGAGCTCACTATTTAAAGTTAATAGGACCCAGGTGTCCCAAGCTGTGAATACGAGCTACCACAGACGACAGGGTGAGACCACAGAGGCCGAGAGGGCAACTAGCTAACTGGAATCCCTGGGACTCCCCCGGTCCGATATTATTGATCGAGGCCAAATTGCCACTCTAGTTTCCCCGTCCTTTTTCGATCCAGTGTATTCGACCTACACGCGTCAAAATGCACATCGAAATTCCGAAATACGCCTGGTTTATGAGAGATTTCTTCTTCATAGAAAACCGTTATTTTCATAAATTGCACTATCGTCAAGATTCCTTGATGTCGAAACTCGGCAAAAAAAACATTGTGGCTTCAGCCTACCTGTTCTGATGGGATCATCGGATGTTCCGCCGCGTACTCATGCACAAGTTCGTCCGCCACTTCGCTGTAGGAGGTAATTCCCTTTTCTTTGACTTTGTTGCAAACGCATCGTGCATAGCGTCGAAGGCCGTTTGTTTTGAGGCCCGTCGCGACACTGGGGGTTGGAGGGAGAAATCCGTTGGTTAGGTACTGTGCTACGTCTCTAAAACATGCTCAGTCGAGAATGTGATACCCACAGATCTGCTTCAATTACAAGAAACAGTTGCTACTTGTATGCACAACCAGACTCACAAACTCGAGTGCTGAAATGCTTCCCTCGAATTACGAAATCGCACCTGAGAACATACATTGATTCATTCATACTATCTGCACGTTTATCAGGGAATTCTGACTATTCTAAATCCTTATTAACTAGCACCTTTGACGACCGATTGGAGGATTAACTTGAGCTTTAAAGCACGAATAAAATTGAGGAAGTTCAAGACAGCGAACGTACGTTTTCGATTATTTTTCGTCATGCCAGTACATTAATACAAGTAGCTAGAGCAGCGAAATTTAAAGGTAAAACAACTTATGAACAATGGTCATAACTTGGGGCAAATGTGTTCAGACTTGTGGGGCAGAGGGATAATTATAGTCAGTGGTACGGGAGGGGGATAGGGGGAGTGGAAGAGGTAGGGTAGTCTGACTGAGTTGTGCTTATGATTCGTCGCTGCGGTACGACGTGCCATGGTGCGGCTCGAAACTCTCATGATTCAGCTTTGACCAGGATAATTGGGGGGCTCTAATGAAGGTCTTATGCAAGCGCAAGGCTGTATTCGTTAGTCGTATGGCCACTGCCTCCGCCCTAGCAAGTATCCGTGGACGCAGGGACTTGGAGCGTCTTGTCGGCACTTTATTTATGACATGGAATGCTTGGTTGATATCTATCTGGTGACCGGCGTCAACCAAGTGAGCCACAATGGCGCTAAAAATGGACTTTCCTCGCCTTGATATAGCCAGGCAAGATGGTGCTCTCGCATCCGCTTGGATAGGCGCCTTGGTGTTCGGCGCTTCAAGTCCCTACGTCAACGGATACTTGCAACAGCGGAGGCAGTTCAGACCCGAACCATGGCACGTGGCGCCACAGCGACGAAACATAAGCACAACTCAGTCAGACTACCCTACCTCTTCCACTCCCCCTATCCCCCTCCCGTACCACTGACTATAATTATCCCGCTGCCCCACAAGTCTGAACACATTTGCCCCAAGTTATGACTATTGTTCGTAAGTTGTTTCACTTTTTAAAAATCGCTGCTCTAACTAGACCTGTACTAATGCACTGGCCTGGCGAAGAATATTCGAAAACGTACGTTCGCCTCAATGTGCAAATGGGCATCATCACAGAAAAAAATTACTCAAGACACTATAAGAGCATGTTTAAAAAATAATTTTCGGTAACTGAGTAGTCGTCAGGTGTGCCAACAGCCAATAAAACAAATGCTTCAGGTTAGGTGTACGTTAAAATCAAACGGACAGTAGCCTGTCCGCCTACGCATCAGCTGTCGTAACAGCAAAGATAAAGATTTTGACAATATATCAGCCAGATGGAAGCTAGAAAGTGGTATGAGTCTTCATTTAAGTAGTGCCTAACTGGCAAAGGTGGGGGAGGTGGCCATCAACTTACTGGTCTTGTTCAGTGTCCGAGTCACGGCCACTGGGACTGCCAGGATGTGCAAACTGAGCATGTGGATGATTAGCGGAGAGCTCAAAAAAGCCGCCTTGTGGGGCGGGAGCCTGGCCAGCAAGAAATCCGGCTTCAGGACCGCCGGAGAGCATTGCATTCTCAATGTCTTCACCTGCAGCAGCCGCTCCGGACACAGCTGTCGGAGGCAGAGCGAAGCTGGGACCGACCCGGGTTGCCATACCTGCTCCAGGAGGGCCTGAGAGAATCAAAGTGCCCTATAGGGGAAGAAAAAAAGAGCATCCTTAGGATTCCGTTAGTTAAGGAATGCTGTAGCTATTAGATGGCTGCAAATCAGTTTGTCTTACTGGTCTTATGGGCGCACCAGAGCTTCCCAAGACGGTAATGTTTCCACCGGGAGCAGCACCAATCTGTCCTGCAGGTCGCAGGGCCAAAAAGCGTGGCATTCCTGCCGTCTGCTGCACTCCACCCGTTGATATTACAGCACCACCGGGACCAATGGTCTGATGTCCAGTACTGGTCAGCACTTTGACCCCTCGTTGAAGCATGTGCATGGGTATAACTGCGATGGGGGGAAGTATCAAAAAGGTCATGTTAGCAGGCGCTAGACTGCCCCGTAATAGACTCAAAGTGATTCAAAACACATCGAAAGCCCCCAGTTTTATTAGCAAGGGGTCCCTACTAACAGCCGTCAGGTCCTCATGGCATCCGATTGGCCTATTCAGACATACGTGCAAATATGACGACAAGCATTAAAATGTCGCGCACCAAGCACATAACGATCACGCGATTAAGTCTAACAACGTCCGCTAACACGAGCAACGAATCCCACGTCTGGATGCATGCGCGTGGCACATTTTGGACGAAGGCTGCACACCACGTACGCCACCGCTCCCAATGGCACCACTATTTGGCCTCATCCCGACTTGCCACTGCTATTAAGATATTGTGGTCGGTCTAGCTCAGATCAAGCGTCTATTTTCTCTACCACAAACAACCAAACGCGCTAACAGTCGCGGCTCGGAAGGATGCCAACCGCGGGAATAACACAGTCTTGCTTAGGACTGCAGATCAGTCTGCGATGGCTTCTTCCTACTGTGGCCTTTATGGCGCCGTCACATGAGATAGGGAGCCCCCTCATTTAAAACTGGTTTATATAATTAGGCTCAGACACGGCTCCGGCGACGTCAGCAAGAGGGCTTGCGTGCGTCCGCAGTTGTTCTGGCTGTTGTGCCATTGGAACAAAGTGGATGTAGGAAGAAAAGTGGATGTTACGTAGGTCCACTTCGCAGTAAACAATTTCACGCGCAAGTCATCGTTGTCGTGCCCTCTCCAAAACTGTGTTGGTCCCCAAGGCCCTAGAATGAGCTTTCCCGGCGCCTGAACTGGATTCTCAAAGTCGATGTCGAATTTTTGCGTATGCTGAGGACACATTACCTGGCTGTCTGACGGATCCCAGCACAGTGCCGTGATTTATGGGTGGGAGTGTTAGCGTTCTTATATATGTGGCGCATCGTGAACTAGGCCCTGACGACAGTCCGACTTTCACATGCGACAATGTCCACCACCGGTGGGTGCAGGACAGTGACTTGCGCGTGAACAAGTTCATAATGACAGCAGACTTGCGCAGCGTCTGCCACACTCAACCCTCATCCACCTGGGCCCGGTGGTAATACAGGGTCAGGACGGCCGAGGACGGGTTCGCGTGCAGTAGCTGGCAAAGCTAAATAATCCGTCTACGAGTGCCGCAGACGTGCCGCAATAAAGTGGGCTACTCGTCTCCCATACAAGTCACGTTAGGAGGAGGCCATTAGGCCTGACTCCCAGGCTTCGAGAGCCAGTCACCTCAAATGCACACACAGTGCCGACCGCGAGGACCAAATTATCGGGTCAGTTTGCGGGTTTTCAAGCGCATTTCTAGCGTGGACCGCTGAAGTGCCACCTTGGATCATTAAACTGGAGTAAATGGACGCAGAGACTTCACGTTGAAAGTGCAATACTAAGACATGAGAATGCCGACTGTCAGTGAGTGACAGGACCCCCACTGGTCTGGACAGATTAGGGCGCAGAGGCTAGCAAGGGCACCACTTCGATCGCTCAATTATTACATGACTTTACCTCACTGAAATTTCTGACAAACATCGTCGTGCCCACCATGTAATTTCGGGGTTACCAAAAAAAGGTCTAATCATAAAAAGTGAAAAGATTACCTGCTGCTTTGAGGGCCTTTCCGCCAACCCCTTGTCCAGGGACGGTAATTATTTTCACGGCCTGTAGAAACAAAAAAAGTGAAGACTGATAGTCCGTACACACGCTTAAATGGTACGCGGACAGTACTTTGCAGAAGCCGCTTTAAATTAAATAATTGTTAGCAGAGATTATTTGTGTTGGCGTGCCTATGAAGCATTTGCTGTGAGACAGTGCACAAGAATAACGTAATATAAGCATGCTTTAGACAGGGAGGATACCCAAATATCATCGACAACCAGGTATGGATAATCTGATCAACAGGGAAAAATAACCTAGGTGAGCTTTGGAAAATCATGGGCATGGAACATATTCACAAGGTAATTTATGTACACCAGCATGCTAGCTTGTGGCTGGGACTTGTTCAGGCCACTCGCGTATACTAAAATCGGAGGAAGACCACAAAAATACCAGTCATTCCTGTCAGGGAAAGGAGTATCAGAGAAGGGCGATGGAGAGCGACTAGAAAATGATAACAGAGCAGAAACTACTGCAGTCTCCGGTGGATAGGAAGTCCTTGAAATGTATGGGAAAATTAAGGCGCCGCCCCAAAAAGACAAATCTGTGACTCACGACAAAGCCGTTTACTTTCATGTCTTTTGGCACCAAACAATGGAATAACTGTGTGTGCACAGCTTTGTTAGATTATAGGTCACGGGATATGACACCGGCCATGATCATGAGGTAAAGCTTCATGCGTAAAAGCAAGCATTCTGTATTGACGAGAGGGTTGCGAAATATTAATGCTCAAATTACCCGTATGCCCTGCGTTGTAGGTGCACCAGGGGTCGTAGATCCGACTGGCTGACCGGTACGTTGCACCATGATGACTCGAGGTGCTCGAATTGCTCCCGGTGTCGCCATCCTCACGACTGGATGACTAACTGTCTGAAAAACGCCCTCAGATGGCAATGAAACGACATTCTGTACAATAGAGCTGCTGACGTTCGAGGTTGCAGGTTCGTTTGATCCAACAGTTATTTCTTGTTCTGCAGCGGGGATATCTAAAAAGTCCCCGGGTCCACCCGAAAATGGCTCTGCTTTGCATTCCATGATGTCTGTGATTCAAAAAGGCAGTGGCGTAGAAAGGAAAGGCACTCTTTCAGAATTATTATCAAAATCTCGTGAATAAATTGGTTATAGTATTGTAACGAAAGCTTAACTGCTGCCAAAGCAAAGGGTCAGGAGTAGCTGACAGTTGTCCCAAATAGCATCAATACTGGCACATGTCCTGCGGTCGCCAGCTAAACACCAGGCGGTCGTTGTTCAACTTTCGTCGCATTCATGAACACAGAAGTTCGTTTGGCCAGTCATCCATTCCGAGTCTGACCTAACCGCATCTGCAAATTTGGCTAGCATGCGGCAAACTGGTCACATTTTGCAACCACGAGACACGAGGGTCTAGATAGTAGCCTTGAGCACCGGAATCCAATTAGCCACGAGGACAGACTAAATGGGGGGAGGATACTTTGCAGACGAGTTATGCACCTATCCACGGCTTTAGTTCGTCTGTGGCACAGCGAAACCGGCATAGACAGCATATCCCGGCACCTCGAGGGTGAGACACTGTGTTGTGAAGCCCTCCAACGGTATGTCGGCTTTCCAAATTTACAGAAAGGATCTCCATGGCAGACAACGTCAACAGCACAGTCAAGGTATGGAAGGAGTTCTCGCCATCTGGACGGCCTTGCAGTGGTGGAGTCCTGTGAGAAGATGGGCTTTTGAAGGCTTTCACTGACAACTGAATTGACAGTCGTGTCGGCCAGTACGTTTACTGGACGACCGATAGCTCGGGCACTCCACTTGCGCAGTGTTGATTACAGACAGTAGACAGTAAGAAAGTATCTGAAGTCATCGAGATTGCAAAAACCGGGAACAGATCGACCTGGTAAAATAACCACAGCCGCCATCTGGTAGAATATAAGAATTTTGAGGTGACTTGCACGATTGCTTGGATAAAAAGTAATCGGCGACCTACTGAAATTCGGCGAATATAACAATGGAGAATTTTCTGTCCTCGGTTTTCCCTGAGTTTTGGCGAACGCAGTTCAACTCGGTCGAGAGTCAGATGTAAATCAGTAAGTCAAGCTGAGCGACTGACTTTGTTAGTGCGACTTGCTTGTTACTAACCGACCTACCATACACCGCCCTTAATCCCATTTAAAGATCGCCAGCGAGAACACTCCGGTGAGTGCCACACTGGCGTAGACATGTCACTACAAGACGCCCACTTGAGAAAAGGTAGGATTCCACGCACTCCCGATCACGCAAATCATACCTTCGCGTTATAGTTAACGGTCTTACGCCTCTACAGCTCATACATGGAAAAAAGACGGAATTCCAAAAACCGACCGAAATGGGAATACGAGTTAACGCATTTTCTGTCAGGACACCGCAGAATCCATGAAACTAGGTGGCAGGAAGGAATTTGGCAAGAAAGAAACTGAACCAAGTCAACTATTTGTGTAACTGCGCCTACCGGTTTGAAGTTCCCATGGTCGCTATTTGTCGGACAAATGGGAACTCAAAGATCAACTTCGGATCAACTGACACGTGCAACTAGACGGGTGAAGGAGCCGTCTATATGTAGTGGAAGAAAAATCAAGGAGCTAAATTATGAAACGCATCTCAATGAATTTTCAAAATAAATGAAGTGGCGGGAAAATTGGAATTTCGCTCACTTTCCGTCGCGGAACTTTCAAAATGGAGAAGAGAGAACCGCGCAATCCGGATGTGTGCGGATGCACCGTAAGTTATTAAAACAAAAACACTCAAGAACTTTCCCTCCGTAACTGATTAAGAAACAAGGTATTGGCAATATTTTCTTACATTTTCTTTATTTTTTACTATTATTTGTCGGCTTGGATAGTAATAGTTGTAGCTTTGGCCCTTTCGAATGACCTGAAAAATGCGCAAATTTCGAAGCATGCCAGGACAATACTTTCCCTGGATCGTTAATTAGCAAGTTAAAAAGCTAAACTCATGACATGGTGTCTGACGAAAACGCTAATTTTGCTTCTTCCATTTTTGAAAATCTTGGTTCGCCTCAATAACATACTCAATCATAGCTTATTGCGGGACGGTTCGACCGTCGTTGCAGATAATGCCCACATTATGTGTCATAAAAAGGTGAAACTGGCAAGGTTACTTGCGTGTAAATTAGTTTATAGCGGTAGCAGACTCGCGCAGCATCTGCCGCACTTTTCTTTCCTCCTCACCTGCACCGGTTGTCAAGACATCTTCAAGAAAACCGGAGGCAAGGGAAGGCGCAGTTGGATGGCACGGCTGAGCCCACACCATGGCGCTCCACACCAGTTGGTCTACACAGAAGATAACCAGGGTTTTAACCGCCAAAGATGTGCATGGCAGGGTTCTTAATGTGTGCAACCTCTACCGGCAGCTGGTCTGCCACCGCACCCCGAAATGTTGACATTTGTTATGGTGCACATTCCGCCTACGCCTGCCAGGATCCGATATGATCTCTGTGTTGCTCCAGCGCATCTTCCACACAGCCCGTTTTAAGGGCACTGCTTACTGCACACTCAGATCAAAACTATGGGAAAGGAGAGTGAGAAAGACTAAGTTCCGTTTTTAAACCATCATTCTTCCACTTTGACATAAACACTTTAGACTACCGTTTCTGGTATGCAAATGGTGGAATGTCAAGAGAGTATACGCGGCGAAGTTGTACTAAACGATTAGTCTGTGTTTTGGTCTTGTCCCAGTATTTCTTTGAACTCAGTCTATATCCCTTTTTGAAAAATGAAAGATAGACTGGGATGCCCACTTCTGGCCTTTGCCGTCGTTCGCCATCGTTAACATCGGTAAGCTCTTCTCTGCACATGCTACTGGTCGCTTTGTGATTGTCTGTGGCACAATGTGACAAAAACGTCGTACGACCTGAATGTTGTGCGCCTCTCCATTATAGTTCACCCGAGAGCGGACCTACAGTTCAGTGTTCAATTTGTGGATTACTAACCGTTTAATGACCCAAAAACCCGGATTCGTACCTTATGTTCCATAATCCTGTGATTGTATATCTGACTGGCGGTGGCTAATAGGCCAGCAGTGGCCTCTCGGGTATTTCTTTTTATTGCCGACATCCTTTATCTGTGGAGAGTAAATTGGTGCACAACTAACTGCGGATGTTTCGGACTTGTTTCGAAACCTTCGATTTCTACGTCTTTTCACCTTTTGTGGCATTGAGCACCGCTGCAAAACTAAGGTGTTGGACGCCAAGTCTACGCGGGCAGTATTTTAATTCCCAGGCGGTTACGACGATATCTTTACAAGAATGTATGTATCGTCATGGTTTCTCTGTGCACCTCACCCAGTGTTGCGCTTCAAATAGCATAGTCAATGAAGCACACCAGTTTCCCTCATTAAACTCAACTGAAATCCATGTGATTCATGTTCGCCATCAGAAATCTCGGCTAAGTAGTTTTGAAGTTTGATTTATGCCTTAGGATGTTCCTAACGTTTTTGTCACAGTCTTAGTATAAACACCCCCCCCCAAAACCAACGTCTTCCTCATGAATTGAGCGCCATCGGCATCCTGGGAGATCTTATGAACTTGATAAGGGCGTTTCTGACTTGGTCGCAAGTAACGTCTCTGTAATGAAGATGATATATCAGCCTGGATGAACGCGAGTAGTGTCGTGCTTTAGTTCTGGGCTCAGTTCTGGGGACACTGCTCTTAACAATCTATGTTAAGGCCAGCCTTAGGGAGCTCGATTGCGGTTAAATAATATTTGCCGACGACGTTGGACTCCCACAAGTCAATAAGAGTCCAAATGACCAGAGAACCCTTAAAAACAATCTGCAATGACTGCCAGTGTGGTCCGAGAAATGGCTTCTGGATTTTATTGTGCAGAAGTGTGCCGTCCTTCATCTGCGTCCAACCAACCGTCGTTCAACTGAGAGCATGAGGGCATATCATCTGAAAGAAATTACACTTCCCTCAGAATCGCTGCAAAAGGATCTCAGTGTTTAGATAGAGAGTGACATGAAACCAGCACTGCAGTGCAACAAGGCTGCAAAAAACGCCATGGAAAGGCTGCAGGCCATCAGAAGGGCGTTCGTAACCTATGACAAAGACCATTTTGGAAGTGTTTACGACATCTTTGTTCTGCCCCATTTAGAATATGGCATACAAGCGTGGCGGTCAGGGCTCGTAAAGGACCAAGCATGCCTTGAAAGATCGCAACGCCTTGCAGCAAAGCTGATGAACGGTTTAAAAAAACCAATCCTTCATAGAAAGGCTGAATTGCCTTAATTCATTCCCTCTGTGTTACAGACAGCAAAGAGGCGATCTTATCCTCGTCTACAAGATAATACACGGCCTTGAGCATAGACTTCGCTTTGAGGACATGTTTCAGTGGCACCTTTCACCCAATCTTCGTGATCACCCGATGAAGCTACGGACAAAAATGTCCAGGCAGAATAAATAAATACAAAATTCTTATTAGAGACCCGTCGGAGTCCCAGCAAATCAAGTCTGACACCCCAAATAATAAAGTCCTTTCCTGATATTAACTGTTTCCCGAAACCATTACGTCCGCTACCTAACATAAACTACCCCTCATATTATGCTAACAATTCCCAAAATCCTATTTTCTTGTAACCTATTTTTTCAAACCCAACGAAATTGCTTTCCTCTTCCCGGGCCCTCCTCAAATGTCTTTCCACATAATGCTGCATCTCTAGTCAGTAGTTACCCCACAAATTTTAGACCGCAGCAACTTTGTCCTCCACTAATTGCTTCGTTCCAACAGCTTTATTTTCCACCTCCGGCCCTTCCTTTTGATAGGTAACCATGAGCGGAACCTACGTATTAGGAATACGCCCAGTATTGTCTCTCTCAA